TGTAGATATTTGCTAATACGGGGATATTAGAGACTCCATGCTTAGATCCCATTCTTTAGTGTATAATCTGGACTGGTATATGGAATAAGTCACGTCGAGGCCCAAAGCTATCCCCTCGACCAGTTGCTCCACTATAAGCTTCGTTCTATCCCCTAAGCTGTTGTCTCCTACCAAGCAGCTTCTCGCTAATCGTAACCTATTTAATGCAAGTGCATTCGTGAAAAAGGGAACATCGAAGTTGACCATCAATTTATCTTGTTTAATGTTCGCTCCTAGTACGATTCATGCAAACCCATAAGTGTTCTTTGCAAATGTGTTCGTCAAGCTTGTACGCAGGTTTATATTCGCCAAACAGCCAGGGAACTATGTGCAAGCATTTCAGAACATGGGCGACACATATCACGACCTCAGAGAAACGAACTCGAGTATGGAGTTGGCTCAGATACTCGGCAATAGCAATGCATCCGCTAGCCACATGGCACGAAATTGACTTCAAAACTGTCGAGGTTAACAGGAAAGGATCGCGATCAGCCTAACAAATGCTAATTGTCGAAGCTATAATAATAATCAAGGCTAACAACTGCGTGAACAGAATAGAAGGAATAGGGCTATCTAGTGCATTTTGTCCAGTCTTACTCCGACCAGTTTGATAAGTGTCAGCGGGTGGATCCGAAGTCGGAATGGACTATAAACGCTCGCTCAAGTAAATATGTATCGTAGACAAGTTCTATCTGTGACCAAGTTCCTTCTGACAGACCACTTAAGACTGCTGACCATACATGTAACTAAACTCTGACTAGCAATTTTTGTTCCCCATTTCCCCCTGGCTGAAACAAACCACGAAGTACACACGAACCTAGTGACGTTTGATCGCCGTAACCTTTCACCAATGAACTGTAAGTTTGTTAGTCTTTGTATGTAGCTTCTTCATGTCATTAGAAAGTGCCACTCAATGTTAAGCGAATTCACTTCGCCTGTAGAAGCCTTTGAGTCAAGTATGAAACGTTGTGGATTGTAACCTATATATTAACCTGTCTTCTATAATGCCTACTGTAGTGAAAGGATGCAATGTCATTGTGGCAGACAAAATGGATTTCACCAATCCTGGTCTTGCACCACAAATCTGCTATTTGATAGCTCCAGTTAGTCTGAGACCATCGACAATGGTGTGATAGTTGACGAATTTTATCTGGAGTGTCCGAACCACCGGATCCCCACTCAAAGGTTTCCAGAACTATAGAATTAGTGATCCAGTTCTCGGTTGGGTCGATAACTTCGCGATTTAATGACCTCTGAAAATGAGAGTTCGAAGTGCCATGTCTGACCCTAACGATTTTCAGTGCGGAGTGCCATGGAACTCAGTACTTGGTCTTCGCCTATTACTGTTTCGTACAACGGATCCCATGAGACTGATCACTTTTAATTTCTCACTCTTGGCTGATGAGCTTAAGATAACGTGGGCCATGAAGAGAACAGTGGTTGACCACGAAGCGCTTCAGGATGACTTCGTTAGTGTATCCGAATATGTGAATCAGAACTCCTTTCATTTCAACACCACCAAGTGTAAGACATTGGGCATACACAAGCAGTCAACTTGGGAGTGAAGGCTTGTGGGTCACGCTGTACAGTGCGCTTCTACTGGATGCGACCTAGAGAAACATGGCTATTCACGTCAGGCCTAGAAGACGTTCAAAGAAGACAACCAACATCTTGAGGGTTTGCGGAGGACATTCGGTTCTTTCCACCCTTCCATCTTCTTTCAAATGCCCAGTGTTCCCATTAGGACCCATTCGGAATGAGCCATCTAAGCCCAAAAGCCTTGAAAGAAACGCGACTCCACCGCAATTGAAAGTGCACGACGAATGGCGAACAGGAATGTAAATGCTCTGTTTCACCTCCATTACCATATGAGGGTGAAAATCCTTGGGATCTGCAGTGAAAAAATATCGACGCCTGCGTGACGATTTGATAAAGACTTATGTGATCCTGAGGATTCCGAATCTTGTTTATCGTCACTTTCTCTAGCTGAATCACAACACCACTCTGATATGCCATCAGCTAAAGCTGGCCACACAGTATAACCAGTTGGAATGTCGCTGGAACTTCCTTCGTGTTTGCCAATCTTGGAACGCCTTCCGCACTTACGTTGTTTCTTCCTCCACACCGACGGTATTCAAAAGGCGTCTCGATGATACGCTCATACATTTACATTCCGCTATAAAACCCTTTGCGACAACCTAACACTACCAAGCGATAATACAACAAGTAAGTGTGCACCGCTCAGACGGAGAACACTGTAATGGACAAGTTGGCAACTTGTGGTTCTCCACTATTATCTGCTGCTATTTTTGCTTTCATTGTGCCCACCCCTAACCCATCATCCAGCGGGCGATCTCAAGCTACGGCATTTTTGCTCCGGAATATACCATAGCTTATCTTCACTTCCTGCACTGTTTATTAAATGTGGCTACTGCGGAAAGTGGATCTACGCATCACATTGGTCTAAAGAAGCGGCATACGAATAAACATTGTCATTTCCCATTTTATTTTTTTCTCACGGAGTACATGAACTATTATTGCTCCCCCAATTATTCGGTGTGCGCACGTTCGTTTCTCGTCCGAAACTGTCATTATACAACAGTGCAGTCAGATCGGTAGACGCTTAAACTGATGATTCACTTATCCCTTGATTATTTCTGTTAGCAAACCAACCATCCCACGGGACTTTGCAAGCACTTGCTTTTTTACCCGTAATAAACCAACGTTCATTGTTCCATTATTCAACGTAAATCGACCAAAATTGCTAGTGGACTGCTTCACCTCCCCTATCAACACAGAATGCAAGCCTTTGACTTGTATCACAGTGAATAGCGGCCCCAGCGAGACCACATCGTGGCTTAACTAATGCGGATGAACTTAAATCGCGCCTGATGTGATCTGTTGCAACTCAGCCCCACTGCAAAACTGAACAGCCACTAGAGTAAAGTGGCAGTACACTACAGTTGACTTGAATGCTGACAACATGTCTCCTCCTTTCAGGTATCTCGAAAGTGGATCGGCGATCTGTCCACTCAAAAGCCACTTAGTCAGGAGTATTTGAAAGGCGTGGTAGCTTCAAGCCTTTCCATTACAAACACTGCCTCGTCAAAACTCTGATCTAGTGAGCCCTAGAATTTGAAGCCTATAATGTTTAGAGTTTGAGTTGAAAGTTATTAGGCTACGCGCAAATGGCTACCCTGCAGCATTTGTCATGTTCTACGGCCTCCCAGTGGAAGAGAACAAACAGAATTCTCATACAGATTCAACATGTCAGTTTATCTCCAATTGCCATTCAAAGGAGATGTCGTGGCAAAGGAAGTCGAGCGATGCGTAGCCATAGTAACTTGGCAGACACTAAATGCTACCAAACTGTTCCCTCTAGACAAACAGGATGTTAGCAACCCCTCCGGTCAATGTTACCTAACTGATCTCTGCCACAACACACATTGTATTTACTACTTTGTCTGTAGCTGCGGAAGTAGTTACATTGACAGAACGGCTCGGTGTTCGCCTAAGCGAGTGGGAGAACGCCTTCCGAGGCGGGTTTATAACGCTACGAAGGTTAAACATGAGGACGGGCGTTAAGTTCCCAAATGCTGACCTTATCGATTGCTATGTACCTACGGTGTGCCCGATATGTCTGTATCGATCCCCGCAACTCAGCCATGAGTGGTACCTTTCAATAATGTACTTGCGTGCGTATAGGAGACACCAGCATCTTTAACGCTTGTCCGGCTATCCAATCCGCGAGTTATATTGGACAGAAAATGCTCGCATGCCTGCGCCTACGTTTGGGGGGCACACAATCGCGTGCGAAGCCATGGAGTTTGCTCTACTCTTGCTGGCATGCTGATTAGATAGCCGGACAATCGTTACAAATCCTCGGCCACCGAACGAGTGGTCATCAAATTGTCTCGGAGTTGGCGTTTTCGCTTACCTAATGCAATATAAACGACGAAATACTCAAGCTCGCTGAGACCGTGATTATTGCTAGCAATTGCCCTGAACTTTGTGTGTAAAATTAGCCGACTGTCACACTCTTCTTTGGAGACCGTGACACGAGTTCTACTACTTGTGCTTCAACTATGGCCTGTGCCGGAATGTGTCAAATCTTTCGAAATTCAAACAATGGACTCTTTTACCTCAGTAATCGTTTAGGATGCTACCCGTTTGCATGTGATCGGTGAGCACGAATTGATATCATCATGCAACACTGGTCTTCTCATTACGTTGTTTAGAATCAAAGAAAGCTGGTTGATTGGATTGTGTCACACACTCGAAAACTAGCTACGTCCTCAGATAGGTTGTATATGCAACCAGTGCACCTAAGTCCGGCTATGATCATGTTTGCATTCCTCTAGCCCTACTTGCTGTTATGCAGTGTTGCCTGAGCTTCCAATAAGTAGTGTAATATCACTTGTGTTTAACTTGCTTTCACGATGTTTCCGAATGTACCTCTGGTGGTAATTTCAGCTGTGTGGTTTCAGCAACCAAATTGAGAGCGTCAACAATGGTTTTCACTCATCGTCAAATGGATGATCCTCAATGGTTGACCCATCCGCTACTGCCTACTAACTTCTGTCATCTCGGCACGGCTAATGTCTATCTGGTTACTTTCGAACAGGGAAAATGAGCGACCCCAACCATCCGAGCTGTCTAACCATAATCGAGAGCATGCACAGAAGTAATCAGACATGCATGTCGTATGTGGATGTCCAACCCATGGGGTGCATCCGTCCCTCGATCCAAACCTTTGCTCACATCCAAGCAGACTGTGCCACAGGCCGGCCAATCACCAATGAGTCATTGGCCATTGGACCATCTAACTTAACTGATTATACAATTGCCTTACTTTGCGACCTCGTTATATCAGTAATACTGGTCCTATCACGCTCCTGTATTCCATCCACCCACTGAGATTTAGTTTATATCATAAACAGGTATATCTACCACATTCCTACCTCGAATGGATTGTAATCCGCAGGAAGCTTTTCTAGAATATCGTTCGCTAATCCGTAGACGACTGACTCGCGCGTTTCACCACTGTCGCCTGTACTGTCCTTCGGTTGAATGTTGACAATGATAGCCAACATGGAGTTCGCTGTGTTCGTGGAATACCTGTATCAGATATGATGTGAAGTTAGATATCGCAAAAGCAGTAGAATTACATTAATTAGCTTCAACATAAGACAGCACAGGAATGGAACGAGACCTCAGTGGCCTAAAAGCAGAATAGTGCATCTCAAATGCGCTATCTAATTTGTAACCAACATGGTAAAGTGCTTACGCATTGACCTGGAATTTGCCGATTAGATCCACGCAACTTGAGTCTGAGGCGCGATAACCAGCCCTAATGTAACCAGTATGGCCGAATGCATTCTGGACACTTGGTGAATGAGTTGCCTATATCAGATAGGTTGGCGCAGCCTACGAGTTAGTGTCGCAACGCAATCGTTAAATTGGGTTGTCAAATAGCTAGGTAAATAGTTCTTTAGAAGCCAATGCGAAAATTGCTTTCTAAACTGAACCGATTGGGAGATAAGGAGCCCAAGTTACAGGTATGCAGCTACTTGTTCCGAACTCTGGTATCCTGTGATCCCAGTTAGGTTCGAATTGAGGGAACCGGAGCGGACAAGAGCTTCTGGCTGCCTCCATCATCTCACCTGTTTTCTTTAATCGACAGTATTCCTTTAATCTCCAAACCAGCAGAATTAGCCTCGTTTAGACGCGACTGTGCTTTCAGTGGCAGTTTGTATAGATAGGAGCTTTTAGCCCACACAACGGATAATTTGAAATGGCACACTTTACTTCCTCTTCGTGTACAGTACAACATGGTAGTCCGAATCGTATGGTCCACCGGAGCAACCTAAGCTTCAGTGCTCAGAAGTGTTCACTGTGGCTTATAGCAAAGCGCATTTTATCTGTGGTTGTACTTTACTTCACCGAAATTCATTTGGGTAAGTTAGAGGTTACCCATCGCTAGCCACACCTCAGATTACGTTTAAATGCTTTCTGATGCCCAGCGATAACGCGGTGTGTTGTAATTAGTAACCACGCCAAGATTCCATCATAACTTACGTGATATCTGCATTTGGGTGTAGTCCAAAGCATTCAGGTGAATCCACCAGGGGCAAGTTTTCAATACTGGCTTGATACTCCTCCGGTGTACGGCATCTAGGAATTTTATAACCTTTGCAAAATTCAAAAGAATCGGCAAACATAGCCTCGGAGAACCAAACTTTGGCGTATGTATTCAGTAGACGTTTATCGTAATCGTCCGTTACTCGTCCACCGTAGTGCACTTCACCGATCATGTACCGCACAGTTGACCAGGAAATGCCCTGTGAACAGTCATGTACACCGAAAACGATAAGTTATTTTGGACTTTCAAACGACAATCAGTATTTGTTTCAGTCATGAAAAGTCAGTGTAACTGACAAGGTCGGTTCGGTGATTTATCATCAGGCCAAATACAACATATTCCCTTAGTTACAATGAGGAAGCGTTGACATTGTAACCGAAAAATTGTGAGGCCAAAATGACCATAAGGATGTGCTCTTCTTCATGCGGAAGTTATGTGGGGGACAGTTGGTCACAGTAAATCCAATAGATTGACGATTTGTTTATGCACACACAACCGGGGTTCAGAGGAATTGTCATCGTCTCCACCAATACAAACGTTTAGCACAGCCGTGGCCAACTGCCGCCCACGCAGCTTACGCTTGAGCACTGTGCTCATGTTAGTACTTAAAATTTGCAGTCACTCAAGTCACTCGCAAAAGAGTTATTACCTTTGGAATATTCTAATCCTCTTGTGACATAAATACTAAATGACAGCTTAAAAACAGGTTTAGTAGGTCCCGTAAGTTGGTAAAAGAAGAATTTGCGATTTCGAAGACTAGAAAGTTGAAAAAGTAAACTACGCATCAGTGAAGCAACAACGTAACGGCACATTCTAAGCAAGATTAAGAGCAGACAGCACCAGGCGACATGAAATAACAACTTAATATGGTCAGTGTTCATTGCAAGGAACATCCTGATTGCTCACCAGCCAACCGTGATTAATGTACATCAGTGTGGATTAAAATTACACAGAACCAGTTATTCGAAATACATTAAAAAGCATTCCTTCACCTTACAAAATATAGGGAGCTGAGAATAATAAACAAGCGTTGTTAGAAATAGCTAAAGGAAGGGCACAGGGAAACTTACATATTATGCCAACATCCTTCAAAAGATGCACTACGAAATTCCAGCACTGGTTAACGACCCACGCCACAAGCGAACAGCAACGGAAGCATCCGATCTCTTACGGTTCCATTACTCACACATGTTTCATAGGGTAACAAATTTGATGATTATCTCTGTTACTATTGTCGCACTGTTATGTTTATCCAATATCACCTTTACTGTAGAAGCAGATGCAGTGAGGTTTTTGGAAAAACAGAGTATAATGACCCCGGAGAAACATGATTACCACCAAAACCGTTCAGGTACTACGAGTCCTTTTAATGCACCATTGGATGTACCCACGGACGCTGCGGATTTTTGGATTACCGTGCCGGATTCCACTTTTTCTTCGGGATTGCTGTGTCTTACGCGATTTTGCTGTATGAATTATGCACTAATATTTTTCTTTTGGTGTATTTTTTCAGTCTGCGCAAATTCGGTGAATGTTCTCTGGTATTTTCGGAGTTCTCATTGATTGGCCCAACTGTTGTCTGTGTCCGCCATCTTGGATTTGTTCTACGATACTCGGTCTTCATGGCGATCACACCGGTAACCCGAAACGAAGTATTTTTGGCTAATCAAATCTGTGCTAAGCTAGTAAAAGGAAGCTTGATTTGTACAAATTTTCAAAACCGGTACCATTCGAAATGCGTCAACATCTGTAGAACAGACATAGAGAAATAAAATACGCCAGGGTTCACATTGGTTCTGTCCGAAGTGCACGACGGTTGCACTAGTAAAATGCGTACTAGTGTTCACACAAGAATACGACAGCCTAGTCGCCAAAACTGAACATCATTAGAATGCAAAAATTGCTTCACTCGAAGCGATATTAGTGCATCTTGCATCTCATCGGTCTCCCTCAATTGCTGCCTCGAAACCAAGCAAAAGGGCCAGACGTTCACATGACCAAGCAGTACTAGCAACCTTTGGAACCAGGAACCAATGCGTCATCACGACTGATAGAAGCATGCCTAGCCCCACCACCCGCATCCTCTTATCCAATGCATCGATTGATGGACCATCGGTAACACCCAATCTTCCGACTGATCAGCGAAATCCAAAGCGCTCTAAAGACCGATCCACCTATGCAACCGTTGCTGCTCGGTATAATTGAAGTGCGACCTCGGTAGTCTTACCCAGTACAGCAACAAAGCATTGTTCATTGTTCCATTAAGGAGGCACTTCGCAGCTTTGAGTCCCTCTATTACGACGAGTAGCGCTCTGGTGTAATGCAAAACTATGAAGCAAAGCAACTGATCCATGACAAGTTTGCTAACTGATCCGTGGGAACAGCTAACGCTTTACCGAACAAGCATACACCATGCTTAGTGTCAAATTTCGTTACCTTCATGACGTATGATTCGGTGGTAATCTTTAGTCTTCAGCTTACGCAATATTCTATGGGAATATTTGTCCCAATCTTACTACATCATACGCAGACTGGTAACATCTCTCGATCCGGTAGTTGCTAGCCAAACAGAAAGAGTCATTCCAATTGAAGGCCTGCACTAGGTTATGCTCGGTCTTTCCGAAATCATGTGGCAATTGTCTAGCTTCAACGTCATTAAATTCCAGATGACTTGGGCAGTAGCTATGGTACACTTTTCTACTGATAGCCACTTTCGAGACCGGTGCGGGAAACAAGGACTCTACACCTTGTCCTACCGTCGGGTGCGAGTCGACCACATTAGGACCTACCGTACTCTACATCTCGGTGACTTCCCCATGCTGAGGCCAATGCTGCACTTACGAGGGTCATGCAGCACACGCGGGCACAGATACAAACTTGTCGTGCCGGATTTGAAACGTGTTCCCCACCCAGTGTGCTTCGAACGGAAAGTGGTAAATATTTGGAACAGTTTACCTGAACACGTGATGGAGGTAACATCTGTGCAGCAGTTCAGAACGTTGTTAGATTTATATTTTACCACTATTCGATTCAGAGAACGCTTGCACACTTACGATGACATGTTACATTTGTGGGTCCTGCAATACCGTGAGTCAGATATTTTAAATGTTACATGAGAACAATAACGATATTCACGGCTGACAATATATATAACGTTTTCCATCATATTTCGAAAGAGCTGTAGAGAATGCATTTCTACTTTCTCTATAATACAGTATTCAGTATTAACCACTGGGGTTCAAAGCGTCAAAATCTCGATAAAGGCCTATAATTTCAGCAAAAGTCCAGTGGAGTTGGGACCCGACCGCGAAGGAGCTATTATAACTACCAATCTGCTCGAGAGTAAGACATCGGTTAACTCAGGGCACACCATTCGGAAAGTATGCGCAAGCAGTACTTTGTTGGGAAACTATCAAATAATCTAGCATGTTTCGGCCTTTGGTGTAAGTGGTGTGCAAGAGTTAAACTGGAGCAGCACCTCAGACAGTACTCCTATCCTTCACAGGATAACATGTCACCGGGATCAAGATTTCGCTGTGTACCAAATACCAGAATGTACTAGTGTTCATGTAAGATAAGTTGAACATTTTACACCACAAGGAAGGCAAAGGATAACTAACCATTAAACCTTATTTAGGAGTATGCCGTATTCATAACGTATGCTCGACGAACTTTGTGGATTCTTCTCACCTTTTTTACGTCTATTTCGTCCAGATGATTCTGTATAAATTGCGCAGTAGATGTAAAATCTGCTTGGTTGAATTCATACGGAATATTCCATCCGATTGGACCAAACTTTCGACGTTCCTGTACCGTGGTGTGCAGGAAGGCGAGAGCATACAGCATGAGTCTCCACTGTGGCAAGTTGCTCACTTCCAACTGGTCTTGTGTGATCATTGCAAAGGTTCGACGCAGCCCAGCTCGAACACCCATTGGAGGGTCATAGGTGAATTTAATCGATGATTGTAGCAAGTTTATGGGGAAATTTGGATTGACTTCTGTTGTAAGCCAACACCGGAATGCTTCATGTACTCCCTCAGCGTTGCTTATCTGAAAAAGTAGGGTACTCTCATCTTTAAAACTAATTCATCTTGTTTGAGACGAGCGACCAAATTCACCTACGGCAGTGACCCCTATTCTTCCAATGTGTGTTTCGGGAACTTGCAATCGCTGTTTACTTAAACCTGACCGAGTGACGGACCAGGCATGCTTATATGAACTGAACCACTAGAAGTTTAACGGTTACGTTTAGTTTAACTTCACTGTATACTAAATGCCACTCCACTGTAGAGTTTTGGTATTTCAAATGGGCAACCTATGAGGACTTATTGTCAGGAACAGACTGATGCTCTATATGGACCGAGGTGCTCAACCCATTTTCTTTCCCAAGCAACAAAATTTCTAACAGCACTGATGAGTAGCCCGTGTTACCCGCCAAATGCTATTTCTTTTCGTTGTGCGACGGAGTTGGCTATATCATATATTATGCACGCATTTATGAGGACCAAACAAAAATCTCCGAATAGCCCTTGCTGTGCCCTAGTTTCTACTTCCGCCACATTACCATCATTGGAATGGTGCAGCCAGCAGAACGTTCAACAACTATAGTGACCGAACTCATACGCCTATTTGCTGTGTTTCCACCAAAGTTCCTCAGATCCTGTGCTTTTGGTCCCATCTCTTACCTTAAGAGTCAGCATGGGAGAATGGGGAGTGGATCATAGTGTACGTTTGTGCGATTCTTAAGCGAAATGACTCACGACCCCACGTAATTCCACTTTTCGAAAACGCCTTCAAATCCAAAGTAATGCAACCACCGTTTCAGAAACCGTTGACTCTCACAAGTCGTTTAGTTGCTGGGTGCGTTAAGCAGCATCACTACAGTTTAGTCTAGCTCAAACACAACAGATAAAATTGCAAGGGGAGGGCGAGTAGAATCCTTATGGTGGTCGCTACACCGGCAACAGCATGACGGTCATGTTATCGCTCTGCTTGAATCACTGCCGTTGTCCTCTTCCATTAATGTTTAGTCTCAACTGACCATAAAACACTGATAAAAATTGGATGGAACACGACAATATATCACTTGAAACATAAAGACATACCGTATCCAAAAGTTCATCCATGAAATTCAAACCCAGGTGACAGTTCTGCAAAAGCGCCCAACGTCCTTCTTGCATGCTCACTGCTAGCAGACGCCTTGCGTGGACTTCCTGTCCCTGACCCATGGACACAGCTCCACATCCTTAACAGAGAAATGGTATGGCATGTGAAAAGGGCCCCGCTGAGATCGGTAGTGGGGGTGAAATATACCCTGCTGATGATTGCCATAGTGTACTCACTTAGATTCAGCTTTTTCGAGAGCCTTTCAATATTTTCCGTTGGATCTGACCCCATAGATAAGAAGCAAATCATTGGAGTACGGACGTCACATTCTTCCACCATCTCCTCCAAACTAGTGATGACTCCTTCTGCGTACGCGACTCCCATCACCTCGGCGATGTAGCGTTTTGCCATGGGAATGCAGCGGTCCGGACACCAAGAACGAACGAGTAAGAGACGATGGAATGTGTTTAAGTTATCGTAGCCATCTGGGATTGGTGAATCCTCTGGAGCATCTGTGTCAAACCAATTTTTCCAGCCCTAAAATGAATGATAAGGATACCTTAAATGAAGGACCTTCAGTTAATCAGCGATTTTGACCTGGGAAATTAGCAGGTTATATCGGTCCACCGCAAAACAGTGAAGGGATTTTACCGATCGGGAGTGAATATCCTTGCTGTTGCAACAGTTTAACACAAGCGAGTCCGCACACCCAGTTCGCTTACGCAGCCATGGAATGATTGGGTAGGTCAATCATCGCCTTTTCCTAACTCTAAAAGAACAAAGTAACTTGTTCGTTACTGATATTTCCTACTCGAGAGTCAAGCATAGTTATTCAATGTTAACTGGGGTTGAACTTTTCATCCAGGCGAGCTGAAATTACGCACATCTTTGGCCACTGAAAATACTTTAAGTGCCCTCGCTTTCATCTACATAAGCGGTATAGAGTTCGCTCCAAAACTAACTTGTCGCTAAGAGGCCAACGACATAATTGTCGACAACTACTGTGACCCATTATGTATTCGACAGTCACCAGTTAGTTACTGCTTCCACCTAGGCTCTAAACGCACCTCATAACATTAACAGTTTGTCCATCAAATGTTTGTCAAAGGACAAGGACGATGCACAAAACGGTTTAGCGAATGTATGGCACAAACAACGACACCATTTTCCAATTGAAATGCCCAATGTGAGACATTTCTGAACTACCGTCGATAGCAAATTCTTTAAAACATTTGTCATGGCTGTCAACTCCAAACAAAACTTCTATTTCTTCCACACACTGGATTGTCTATTTGGGAATATGTCATCCCTATTCCAAAACCATTCCACCATTCCCATATGGGATTTCACAAGTCCGTTTTTAATAATAATAATAACAATAATAATACTAAGAATAATACGTATATTTCTCTTGATGCGAGCAACTGTCTATAGCGGCACAGATCAATTTGTACAGAAGAATCCATGCTCTTGCATGGGTGACATGCATAGGTGAAGTATTGGAATATGCGTTTCATGTATTAACACTCTGCCGGATGGTTGAGGCCAAAGTCTAGTAATGAAAACAATGGTGTTTATATGTTTTTGGACCCCACTTGGAATAGCTCATCGAGGGATTTTTCCCATGTGAATATAGAGCTTAGGGTAGTTAGATCAAGATAATTGGCGAGTCTGCTACGTTTTGGACACTTCAATACTGTGGTATTTCGCTTTACAAGACTGCTGATTAGCAAAGCGTTATGCCATAACGTTTGCGCATTCTTCCGCATGACTTATTTCCTCTGCTATTTACATAACGATCGCAAATCTAATCGTGTGTTATCTACTTTCTTTACTTTGCACTATGGGAGCGCTGTTGCAAAAAGTTCTGTCTTGTTTGTTCGATAAATACCGTGCGTACAGTTAAGGTTCCTGAGTTTACAATTTTTCCTTCATGTTTCATGAGACGTGCTTAGCTATCCTCCGCATCATCGCCACTATGATATTGATCTTAATTGACACCAGAGCATAAAGACCGGTGAGTTATTCGGTGGGCACAATCTATCGCATCTGCCCACGGAACATGAAACATGCAACCGAACGCTAGTGGCCTCACCAAGATCCTCCATATGCTCCAGATGCCCTCATATCGCTACGGTTTCCAAATTTTCCTGAACATTCGGTGTTTGTTCTGTCTCCAGAAACATCTATGATTACAGAATGAGCAGTATGACATCGTTTCCCGTGATCCGAGCTTACCGGCCATCTCTTCAACCGGTTCACTAGGAATGTATCTGCACTTGAACTGGTTGGCATGCATGTGTGCAGATTTTACGTTTGTTAATCTTACCGGGATTTATAACTAACTCGTTTTTTACTCGCTTCATGTTTCTTTTCACTTTTGCTACAACATGATCACTGCACTGTATACGAAATTTTAAGTACCAGGTTATAGGTGACGCCTGTCCCTACAAGATAGCGCATGTGAAACCATGTAAGGCTCGGACACTCGCAATTGTACCAGTGCATACGATTCGATCAATCTCCGTATTTGCAAGAATTCACTATTTTCCCCACCAGCCTCAGCGCTTTTTATACCAGTCTTCGATATTACAAATATTTATGTTTCCAAAAACGTTCTGCCAGCACTACGCCGATCCACTTGCCTACGCCTCGTTCCTGGTTTGCTAACATTCTTGTTTCCGAACGTTCCACTGCGTTGTCTGATATACCTCCATACGCTACGGTTTCCTGACTAAGCTTGCGCAGGTTGTTCTATGTGAAATATCACATACGCCACCAATATTGGTGTAAAATTGAAACTGGTCAATGCTGTGTCCTTTTCTATGCCAGACAATTAAAAGTGCCTGCTGCGGACAGCTTGATTGTCTTCTCTCTCTCTCTCAGGTTGTGGGGGTCCGCGTTCACTCTAGCCGCTCGTTTCACCTAGCATGTAACAATGGTTGGCGACGATGTTTCATGGGTAGTGCGAACAGAATTCTGTCAGCTAGTTTCGCTGCGCGTATATAACCCGCAATCTTTCGTTTGTTTGTTTCGACTAGGATAGTCGTTACCACCGGGCCGTTCTAAGACAATGTCGCCCTCAAAGTAGTCTATCTCCTAGCAATATACTGTTTCCAATGGTGTTTTCATCTTGGAAAGCCTCCTGGAACGCACTTTCTAGGGTGGCGGTCAGGTCTCTTGTCTCATTGTCCTGAATTTCCTCCATGGATTAGGAACGACGACCTCTCAAGCTGGCTTTAAACTTGAGCAATTGGCGAAAGTTTACTGGAGATATTTCCGGAGAATACGGTGGATTGGGTATGTTAGCATGGCTGCCTCCAAACAAATTAACAATTATGTCAGCCAACTACAATTAGTATTTCCTCCATCTCAAATCATCACTGAACTTATCCTGCACTGTGATACTCCTCCCTTCAACTGTGCTACGTTCGATCTCCCCGGATGTTCTTGCCTGTCGGTATCTTCCATTATCGCTACTTAGTCGCCTCACCTTTCGCGTGTTCACAGTGTGCTTGCTTGTTGGACATCAACTGCATAAAATGGCATTACAGAAGTTTGATGTTTTGCTACACAGCTGCAGACAAGGAACGATGCCTGAGCCTGCACAACGACATGATGCAGAATCCAAGTCTGGTTTTGCCACAGTTCAGACCTCTTGCTGTGTACAGCAACCCTCAACCGCGCTGGAAATCCTTGATAGACTTCCTCGTTTGCCAATTCCCAACGTGGTACGAAATCCTGCTAAACAATACCTTTACAGCAAAAACACAACCAACATCACCTGCTCTTTGACCGATTTATGCCTGGTTTTTTGAACAACGTGACCCTTTACCCATCCACTGAGACAACTGCACTTTCGCCTACATATCATTGCCACGCAACCACGTCTCATCACGTGTAATGATCTTCCTAAGGAAGTTTTCATTGTCGTTGGTGCTGGTAAGCAGTTCTTGGCCAATCACAACACATTTGTTTCTAATCGCCAGTCAACAGGCGCGGTACGCATTGTGCAATGGCGCGACGCATCTCCATTTTGCCACTCGAAATTTGGCGGAACGACGCTGCGCTGATGCCCACGTCGTCATCAGCTTCTCGAACAGTCAAACGATGATATTCACAGAGCACAGCACGAAGACTCTCGACATGATCACCGTCTACTGATGTGGAAAGTCGTCCATGCTTGGGATCGTCCTCAGTCAAAATTCTGCCGTGTTCCTAAGGTTTAAACCACTTATAACACTGTGGGCAACTCATACAGTCTTCCCCGTATGTATGGCTAAACAATTGAAGTGTCCCTGTAAAACTTTCGATGAGTTCGTAGTAAAATTTCACACACACATCTTATTCTTCAAGCTTTTTCATCGCCAATTTGACATCAATCCGAAGAACAGTTCCTGCACGTGCTCACTTCAGTGGCTGTAGCTCGCCAATTTATATTCAGTGCGAAACGCGTCAAGTGAGAGTCTTTTGTCTACACAAGGGACTGTGTGTGTTCAGTTGTCACAGTGCATTTTCTTGGTCGGTTGGCCTGTTACCTCGAAAGTTCGGTCTCTTTTTGTACGCAGTAATACAAATAGTAACCGCAACGTGATGTGCACGCGCTGTTGTAGTTGCCCATAAAGACAAATCTTTATGATATTGCTTGTGTCAAATATCACCTTGCCTACTTTCATCTACGCTTTTATCGTGGCCAAATCTAATGTCATTATCTGCCTTTCCATAAAGGGTTATATCTCCTAATTATGAGGAACATAAAACTATCAGTTAGCAATTATTGTGTTTGTTCATCAACCGTAGCAGTGACAATGTGCGTAACCATTGTTCTGTCTAAGCCATTTGGCCTACGTTCCCAATCACTCTAGGATTACGAGTTTAATAAAAGTGAGTAATAACAATGAGCCTTGTGGATATTGTGGCCTCGGCCTGCAATCCAAAGTGCTTAACCTGCTCGGAAACTGCGAACCCATGATGCTTATTGAGAGAAGCATGCGATGCGTGCACAGTTTACAGGTATATAACGGGTATTGGCATATAAATGGTTACGTTGCACATCAGTGCGAAGAGAAGCAGATTAGCAGTGAGTCACATGAGCATCAGTATCCCTAACGATTCGCGGGTACTACAATCTGTTACAGTGCATTATTAGCCTCACAATTTCGTATTGAACAACTTGATAATGTTGCTCAGTCATCGCCACCCGTGACTTAATGACTCAAAGTATTATTGCATAAGACAGTGGTCGTTAGTTTGGACCCAATAGACGTCGCAAACTATCTGCGCTGTTGCTGATGCCTCAACGAGAAGAAAGGAACATTTAGCTCCCTTCGGAAGCACTATAACTAACAGAGAGCCTAGTTGTGACAAATCGATTTGGAATGTTCTACATTCACCGTGCCAAATAATAATTTACATGCCACGTGACAGAAAGTCTAAGCCAGTAGTTGCACGTTTCACCGAATTTGATGCACTTTTAAATTGTCAAAATACTTAGAAATGGGAGTGTGGAACCCAGACAGTCTTCATAAGCCTGACATCATAAGAAATGTATCTGGATGGAATCATGACTAGGATCAACGAGGTGAACGCATTTGAAGATGTGTTTGAGAACAATATCACACTCATCTATGTGTGGTAGATGAACAAACGTTTTGTGACTTTTCTCAACCCATATTTGAAACCTGCATATTAGCCAATCTCTATGCTTCCGGAAGGCAACCAACACTGTCGGACACTCGTGTCATCTCACACGTGTACGGATAGAAATTTGCCTAAAAGGAAACGCACTCTGTCGTTCGCCGCGATCTGCGAGGGCAGCTGGGAGAACTGTGGCAACTTGCTCAGTTCGACCAAATTCAACCACGTCATGTCCTGGATCCATTTCTTTGGCTTTGGAGTGACAGCATTCAGATCGAGTGCGGCTCCTCCTGAAGTGGAATACGAACCGAAGCAAAGACAGTAGAAAGTGACCTTAGTATTCGGTATTAAAGTACATAAAGCCACTAGTTAGGGTGGCGAAATACGGATGCCGTAATTCGTGGCTTTTGACATGATCCCATTGTTTCGTATATTCTACGCAAGCAGGAATACGTATATTTTACACATGATAGACAATTAACTTGGTTAATAATGAGTAGACGACTTTGGATATGATTTAATTTGATTCATCGCAATTAGCTCTTAAGCCGCATAGGGAAGCTACCAATCCGGAAAAGCATCAGACGCGCGTTTCGCTCTGTTGGGACTTGTTAGTGGTGCACATCCATCGTTCCCCTACTGAGGATCGAACCCATGACTGCTAGAGACTAACGCCAACTAACCAGCAGCTTATGCCACTGAGCCATGGGGGACGACAGCCGACCATTACGAATTGAAACCTAACTGCCATATAGTCCGACCCATCCTCCATTGCCATGCAGGTTATTGCCCGTGCAGAGGAAAGTGGTTGGCCGTCAACGGCAGGTCTTCTCTTGCCAGCGCCGTGAATCCATACAGCAATTTTGAATACTGTTAGGGCCTAGATCTTTGAGTACTAATGAATAGACGGATTTGAGTATGACCGATGAACCAAATCGTCTGGTGCATTTCCGGGTTGGTAGCTTACCTATGTGGCTTGGAATCTAATTGCGATGAACCTAATCGAATTCATTTGGTCTCGATTGCCGTCAAGTAGTGGCTGCGGTATCACTTACTGGTGTCTTGGAGCATGCAGCGGATGCCGCACTTCATCGATGAAGCTGAAGCGAATCACGATGCATGCGCAAAATGTGGACACAAGGCAGCGAAGGGCCATCTTGAACCGCAGTGAAAAACTTCAACAGGAGAAAGTCAGCAAACGATCGACGGCAAGAGAACTAGGACAAAGCGCTCAGATCTAGATGCCTTTAAGACAAACGCAGCTCACAGTTTAACAGCACACCTGGACAAATGACTAAGTAATTATAGATAAATAAACTTTACTCTTGATAAAGCGTGGTAGGTCTGTAATGGATTCATCCGCCTTGTAAAGTTCAAAGAGCATTTTGAGTATTCAATCAAACGGGATTACTCATTTCAGGACATAATTTCACTAACTTCCTTACACAAATTTATACATGCTTGCTTCGAACAATTTGCGTCTTCACTTCGCATAATTGGCATATCCTTAAAGCTTCAAGGTCAAATATGGCACCCATGCCAGACTGTCGAGTAACAAACTGTTATGCTGTACCATTTCCGCACGCCGCCGTACATCTTCCAGTTTCTGCTCTTTCTCATTACGATAGCAAACCTACTCGTACTTTGATTATTGTCTTTAATTTGAGGTAGAGAACCACAGTAACAGGAATTTACGTTCTGCTTAGACCGCACATATAGTATAGGTTTGCTGGCTTGCAGTTTCCCTATTCCGCCTCGTGCAAATACATAGTCTAGGCTTCTTATGGTCGCTACAAACCTTACCATATTTTCCATTTGACAAGGGATTCCGTGGGTGTGTCCCAGCCAACTTCGATATGCTCCATGTGTTCACCTTCGACGGAGGATTTTGGAAAATACAATTAGTGTTTAAGGAGACCGTTAAAACTACGTTTTTCTTCTTTATCGGGCTTGCGAGTAAAACGTTTAACGGGGCTCTTCCACGCTCTGGCTTAGTAAGATAAGTTGGGGAATTCACTTGGGATAGACAAACTTAGGATGATGGATATTGTGGTGGCTCTTGATCCTATCATTCTGAAGGAGCCTGTTTGACAACGCGGCGATTATTTCGCACAAAATACTGTATGGGCTCATAGAATCTAACGAAATTGAGGCACATTAACGGCACTACTCATTGGGTTAACCAGTATCTACCCGGCATTGTGATGCAACACATTTTAGCTTCGAAGCTCTTGACGAAAAGAGCTGTGCACACGTTTGGGTACCCAACAGGATACCAAATGTCTTGTTTCTGCAAAACGACTTTCCGATGGTCTAGTCGATTTTTTTCCTCTAATCCAGTTTACATCCTACATCTCGTACACCGTTTGCTACAGCCTTTCGGGTTATATTCGCAAAGTGTTCCACGCCATGATTGGCAGAATTATGTGGTTCGATTGTAAATGAACTGCTTTTCGGCGGCGGATACAGCTACTGTGAGGATAAATTGGGGCAGCTTGAGTAGGAAGCAACATGAAACAAACCATGCTATATACGTAGCGAAAAAAAACTAGCCGTCAAAACTGTGGTTTCCTTTCACATCTTAATACCACCTAGCTCATTACCAGCCTGGCATTTCCTCATTACTGACACTGTCTTAAAACCTTATCACTGATTGTGGGGATCCCGAATGGTATTTTAAAGCTGAACCAAGACATGGGAGCATTCAGCACCTCAATCACAAGTACAATCCTCTGATGCTCATTGAAGAGTTCTTAAGTCGCATATACTATAAGTAATTGATTCCGTTCGCTAACCTCATAACGTCACATTACACCGTAGAGGTGAATGAGTGGTTTGTGTCATGCCACAACAAAAGTGCATTCGGAAATTAGTAATCTGATTTACTCGCTGGACAGCATCCTCGTGGTGCTAGCTGTGTGGTTCGGGTCTAACTCGTTCCAGCAAATGGTCCGACAGCAGTCTTAAAAGATGAAGTGCACTTTCGATTGCCAAGCCTTCTGTTGTAAACAGTCACAAATGTCTGTCTAACAACACCGCGATGTGGCGGATATGACTTGTGTATAAATAAACGCACTCCTTCTTGTTTTAATCTGGCGCAGTATGTTGTATGCCAGCAACCTCTCGCTGATTTCGTGGGGAGGATTTGCCCCTTGTTTGGTACACGATCACATCAAAAGTGTAAGAAGTGAGCAACTAGTCACCGTCTTCCAATAGGCGCGATTCCATGCATTCGCGCCGCTGTGTTTTGGGTAGGCCATTTACTCAAAAGTTAGGGTTCGTGTCCCCCAAATCAACTTCCTACTTCGGCTTGGGCAAACTGGCGATGTCGCGCCCTTTAACAAAAGCCTTAGAGTGTTCTAAACTGGGCTCATCCGCTATCCTTGCTGCTTCTTGCCTTCACGCTGATCCGTGCCGAGTTCATCCATCGCTAACCAGCTAGCATGGATGCTGTTGCTGCGCGTGTGTGGTGGTGTATCAAGCAGTCAACGTTCAATATTGATTCATTTTGGGTTGGGAATCGTTCCAGCATTCATGTGACTCACATTTCAAGGACAGAACGAATCATGGAATGCAGTGATGGGATAGAGGAACACCGAGACTATTCACATTCAAGGCAGTTTTCACTTGCTCACATGTGCCGTATTGAATGTTCTGCTTTAACGGTTGCCATTAAAGCTTCCCCCTGCAAACCCGTGTTCCGATTTCACTTGGGCACAGAAGCTTGGCGACGGACTTTAATCGGAGTACTCATGAAAAATACGGCACGCCTAGCTTTTTGAAATTAAACTGAAAGGCCTACTACACAGCAATAGATACAGTGGAAAAGTACCTACACTGATTACATTGATCTACTTTTGTGTCTTGACGACAATAACACAATTGATGATGCGGCAAAAATCAAACCACTGTGTCACCATCTAGGTGACGAGGGTCAGCGATATTTTGATTTGCAATTGCATTCGATAAAGGACATGGCACCAGTGCTCGAATCGCTGAACCAACTACGGAAGGAAAAATGAATCAAGGGAGGCAGAATCTGAGTAAAAAATTCTTTTCGGTGGGTGGAAGTTGCGCTTCGGAAACAAACTGGGAAGTATGAGCATATCTATCTTACCAAAAACACCCTATCGCTTTTGGTGAAACTGTTGAACTGAAGTACCGTATATTACCGAATATAAGCTCGTCCATAGATAAGCCGACAATATGACTTTGCAACATCAGATTTGTCCAAATTCGTAAGTGCGTCTATTAGGCGACCCCTAAAAAATCAGCAAAAGGGAAACGAAATTGTTTCTCTTCGATTTCTACGTCATCACTAGTTGATCACACTTGTGAGTTCAAGAGAAATCTGCTCTACTCTTGGTCAGTTGGGGTGACCGTAGTGTTATAATCGCCGTTAGAACAGAGTTTCACCGCACCGGATAGTGTATTGACCAGACGTCAAGTCACATGGTAAGGTGAGAGGGTGTCAGACAGGCCACTCGCATGGTTGGCGGCCTCATACATATGAGCCACAGTAGAGGAGTGGGTAAGAGCAGAGTTCACGGTCAGGGGTGTGGGACGACGTTGTACTTTTAAGACACCGGATCGCCTAGCAGAACGTAAGGTTTAAAAGCTTTCGATTCGCTACTGCCATCCGTCGCTATATAGCGAGAATTTTCGATACAATAGTAACGTGTCCAGTTATAGGCGCTTACAATCTCTGTCTGGAATACCGTCCGTCACTAGCGGGTGGTGCCAATGGGAGATAAGAGCAGAGGTTTGCAGTGAATTCCTGGGTGGATTTAGTACGTGACTTTTTTTCTAGTTGCATATGACCTTTATATGAGGCGACCCCGTCTAAAGGAACAACAAAATTGTCCAAAAGTTATTGGCTTATATACTTTAACATATGAGACCATCAACTCCCGAGAATATTCGCAGCTAAGCATCATTTGGCTACCAGAGACCTGGCTTCACGAATAGGTGGATGATGCATTTGTATCGTTAGAATGGTTAAAATGGCATCGCGTCGACCGACCTTGCACCTCCCGTAACCGTGGGGGTGGAATCATCATTTACACCAAAACTTACCGCTGGGTGTCTACGAGCGCTTTGTTGTACTTTGCTTCCCTACCTATTAGTTGCTTAATTTTGTGACGTAAGCCAAGATGTATCAGTGCATACCACTCAATCTTACTGGCTAACATCTACATATTTCCCCACCTGTCCGAAATCGGAAACAAAGGCATTTGACGATGAGTTTACTGCAGCTGTCATTCAACATATCGATTCCTCACTATGTATTTTGCTGGTGGTTTTAACCGATTTGACACAGTTAATCTCACAAGTCTGGCTATAAAAATACAGTAGATTGCCCCACTAGGTCCAATGCGACTCCGGATCTGGTATTTGTTGACCCAGTGAAACTGTTCGCCGTGTGTAATACGGCGCGGTTAGGCAACTCTGATCAAAGGCCCGCGAGCTGCCGCTTAACGTGTCAAAATGCAATGTGGTAGTTTCTTCACTTCCTAGAGGAGATCGATATCAACCCGCTTTACAAGTAATGCCCTGAACTTAACACCGATGGTGAGAGGTTGCACACTACCACATCAGCCAAGTACTTAGACGTTATGTTTAACTACGAGTTCTTCCATATAAACAAATGTTCACAAAAGTCCTGAGGTTATCGTTCTACGGTTCACGTCTGCGAACCCCTTTCCTCTATGACTTGATACTTCGTATTGTCACTGCCTATGTCCTTCCACACTGCAAGCATGGTACACCAGTGATTTTGCCGGGTTTATTTAGTAGGGACATCAGATTAATATCTAGGTGGTTAAAGCACCTGTTGCGATGTAGCGGTGTATCAAGCGGACCTTTGTCGATATACTTGTGTCCACTAACGTTGGTTCTTCCAAGAGACCAGCATCAACAATAATTGCTGACACAAGCCACCCACCTCACTGTGTACTGTCGGAGCGTGTCAACTTCGTCAACCAGTCAAAAATGCAAATACGTATATGTCCGATCACGAGCGTACGGCTCGTTAGTTATCCCCTACTTAGCGCGCTTTTAGCTAGACCCAAGCAAACTTGTCCAAGGATTAACAAAACAAACTACGCTATGATGGTTATGTTTTTATTTATTGAATCATCTCATTTTCAAGTACATCATACTGCATTGTTGAAAGCGCATGTGTTACGGCTGAATGTTCACCCGTTCTGGGTGCCTATAGCACTTTCATGACTTTGACTTGACTCATTATCTCATCAATTCTGCCCATTTAAAGGTCAAAGGGAACTTGCGATGAAATTTCTTTCCGATAAATTTCGTCAGGCAATTGCAATGATGAGATGCGTAATCAGTAGAATAGGAGCCGTTGCTAGCGATGCGGGGATTTCTCTTGTATGCTTCGACTGGAGGAACGGTGGCAAAAGAAAATGCATCTAAAATCCACTGCTATAGACCACTATGCCTGAAGTCCGTTGACTAGGCTATGGCTAAGGAGGCTTAAACTTTGCACTAGTACTTGCTTCTTACACAGTCCTGGATTTAGCCATTTGATCGTAGTTGCATCAGCCGTAGCCAGCAGGTGCTTTCTGAGTCATTTTGGACTGCGTCTTGATGCAACATACACTATCTTGAAAGCATCTTTCTTTTTTATTTGGTGCTCACTGTCTACTAGGTGTTTCAGGGTGGAACAGTGGGCATTGCTAGTCGTAACACGTTGCAATGAGGCAGCGCAGTGTTCCGCTATCCGCTTTGAGAGACGTGTGGTCGTGTGTCCGAGGCATTTTGCACCACAAGTGTAAGTGAACTGATGTAGAACAAATGATTCGGACTGGTCCGAAATTCTGTCTTCTAGACGGTGGGTGATAAGGGGAACGCTTTCGACGAGAACCTAGACTCTAGCGGAATGGTAGGTTTGGGTTAGTGCACAAAACCAAGCCTAAAGCCGGAACTAAGTAAGCAGCGTGTACTAGCGCAAAGTTTAACGCTCCTGTGGCCGTAGCCCAGTCAGCTGACTTCAGGCATGGTGGTCTATAGCAGTTGTTTTAACTAACATTGACCACCACCGTTCCTCTGGTCGGAGCATACATCAGAAATCTCCGCATCGCTTGTAATAGCTCCTATTCCAGTGATTATGCATCTCATGCTTGTAATTGCTTGGCGGGATTTGTCGCAAAGAAGCTGCTTCGCAACGTACCTTTAGACTAATCACCATGGCATTCCTAGCCATACAGGCTACACTTGACTCGGTTGATGGACATGCTTATAGCGGTGCTTGCTAAAGAACGTGGTCCCAGAGTAGTGTACCGCCATCCCTTGTGCAATTTACCTGCACGTCTCCGACTGAGTGACGGTCCACGGCAATCCTTTCTCGCTCTTCGCTGTCATAAGCGGTGTGCAACAAGGCTACAATATGTCCCCGTTCCTCTTCAATTTTGCAACCGAAGGCATCCTGTTGAGAGCTGTATAAGGTTTCTATAATTTTAGCATAGAGCTTCTAACGGATGAGCGCGACCGACTTAGGTTATGCTGATGATATCGCCTTATTGCTGACGATGTACAGTATGCAGCTCATTCTGAACTGTTTGGCGGTTGAAACATCCATGTATGTCAAGTGCATCGGCCCGTCGAAGTGTAAAGAGCTGCTCCAGGATTGGCCCACACCCGCACCGGCGCCCATCCTTGAAGGTGCATAGTTTGAACAGGTAGATAGTTTCGTCTATCTTGGAAGCTGTGTTCCTGCTAGAGGCACTATCAGCAAGGATGTTTCCGCATCGCTAAAGGCCGGTTAGCATTTTCAATCTGAGGCTCTTGTGACTTCGCCAGGACGTCTGTATCTCAACAGTGGGCCGCCTCTATATTGATTTCTTTCGTTCAGTGCTGTTGCATCGGAACGTGTCCTGACCAATTTGGGTGAAGGACACGAGTCATCTCTCCGCATTCAAAAACAACTGTGTGGAGAGGATCGTTCGTGTGTGGTGTCAACAATGAGCTCACAGTACTAATGTTAGATGCCACGCCCTGGGGAAAGCGAGTATTCCCTACAACAGGTTATTTTTACTGCTCCACTCGAGATGGTACGGTTCGTCCTATGCATCGTGCCTGAGCGTTTGCCGCGTCGCACTCTATCCACTCGTACATGATCACTTGAAGGTGACCGCGTGGTTGTCAGCCTTCCATTTGGCGACAGTACATGAAATTGTTGACATCACGTGTTGGCGCCAATCGATGGCGCCAATCGATGGAGACCCAAGGATGATGAGTACCAACGGCTTGACTCGCTTAAGACATACCCAAAGATCGAAAGCAATAGAATAACAGTGTACAAAATTGACTTGACTCATATATTTAATGCCGCAAACTTTGAAAATGAAAAAATGTAAAATTTGTGTGAAAAACAAGAATAGTGTTTCTTATTATTGTTTCTCCGATTGTATTTTCCTTTGCTTCCTGTGGTTGTTCGCTAGCTATATGTCTACTATATATATATATATATATATATATATATATATATATATATATATATATATATATATATATATATATATATATATATATATATATATATATACTGTGAGTGGTACAGCGCTAGCCACCCATTGTCCCTCTGTAGGCGCAAGCGTCCTGTGGCTGTTCTATGGAGGCTACAGTGACAAGTAAATCCGGAACCGGATGCCGCGGATCATATACATGGTTTCCTGTGTACATCTACCTTTGCTGCTACACGTCCATCTCAAAAACGCTGCTATGTTTAATCTCTTGGTCAATTTAAGCATTAAAAACCAGTTGAGAGAGCTCGTTCTTATATCCGAATCTGAAAGAAGCTACTGTCTAGCTCTTCTCTGTTGTTTTGTCTCATCTAGCATGAGCACCAAGATAACAGCGCCCGTCAACTAGGCCGGTGGCTCATCAAAGTAAGAAGCCTATAATCAGGGTCAGACGCGCAAGGATCTTTATGAAGTCATATAGGATGGCTACGCCGCTTGCGATCAGCCTCGGTTCACGACGATCGCAATCGAGCTGAGAATGGTACTTGGTTTTTGGCTCACTTTGCTCCATATTCTTCACAAACTCGCTATGGCGACTCAGTGAGTTCATCCTGGAGTTACTCAAGCGCAACGGAGACACAGCATCATTATGAAATGCATACAAAATGGGCAGCCTGAGCGGATCTGCACACATGGGAGTAACACCACCTCAAGTAAAGGTCGCCCACCGATTACGTCCAAGAACACGAAAAAGATTTATGTAATGACCATTGCCGCAGCACTGCTCCCAAGTGCTACTTCGTCAGACTGCACGCCGCGCTCACTAATTCTGGGTCTCTCTCTGTTATACGCATAATGTATTCATTCAATCTGAGGTACCAGCCCTAAGCTCAGGTAAATCGGTTATCCTCACGTCTGAACTGGGTCTATCAATACTCGAAAACATTGTATGCCATGCAACACGCTGCCCGAGAGATAAAACCGAGTACGTAAGTGAGGTAGGATTAAAATAACTCTTGATTCCTACGTTGCAACTGCATGTACATCACCATTTAAAAACGTACCCTTGATAAATACCTGGAATTCCTCACGTTTGATACTGCCAAGGTGCATGGCAATTTTTAGTGTAAGAAGCACCGCAAAAGTAAACTTGTCCAGCTCGTAAAATCCACGAGCAGTGTAACGGTACACCTCATAAGTCAGACAATCAATAATATTGCTGATACGCTTCTGCGTGATAGGAGATTTCCCTGCACGTATCATTGACAAGCTGAAGAGACCGAGAAACTGTCGCAATGATGTCTGGTACATGACGTTGACCATGCTCATTTCCACCATTAAGAAATATAGCAGAGAGCCACGGGCTGCAACCGGTCGATACTCCTCGCGCGCTGCATTAATTTTGACTTCAGTCTCAGCAGATACTTGCAGTCTGTCCCGCACTCCTTCTGAAGTAGCCTTGGTTATGCTCAGCATTTCGATTAGCGACTCGTCTTCCACCAAACTTCCTTCAGTTGAACTGAGACGAGATAGGAGACTGTCTTCCAGTTCTTGCATTGTGCGACGATTGGTGGCCACCTCCTCCGCCAACTTGGTCCGTTCAGTCTCCAAATCCTGTATTGGAGCATCAAGCAGACCAACAGACAGAATCACAGCACCGCTCACATACATGGTATTTTAACAAGCATTTCATGTAATCTAGTACATTTTAGGCGCATATGTGCGGTGTACCCGCGCCCGCAACGGAGACATAATCAAGTAAGCAAATGCCGACTAGTCACACCATTCTTTTATTGTTGGATTTGACAGTTTATGTGAAATATGTTTGCAACCAGATCATCTAAACTAGTGGAGTCCATTTTATTACTTTTCAGATGTAGCACGGAGTAAGCCGAATGTCGGTAATTGTTTCCGGCCACCATTTAGTTCACATTGAGCTTGACACGGCTAATTATAGCACGTTCATTGAACTGCCTCCTCCATCGGTTGAATGCTTATTTCATGGAGTACTTATCTGGAGCTGGGATGAAAAGTTTTCAGTTAAGAACTTCTTTTAGGTCCCAAGTACAAGTGCATTCTTTAAACGCCTAATGTACACACATTCTGGATCGAGCAGAAGCAACAATGTAGGCTGGCTAGCCGAACAACCTCCACCTGGTGTCAGCTGGCTGGTTCGAGTTAATCCCGTTCCAGTGAATAGTTCGGCGGCAGTGTTCCAGGACGTGGTGGGTTTTCGCCTGGCAAGCGTCCGCCCTATAAAAAGCCACAAAGATCCGTTTGACAACATTGCGACGTAGAGGATGCGACTCGCCACTAAATATAGTCATTGCCACTTCCCTTCCGGAGGATCCTCACTTCATGAACGTCATCCAATTCGAAGAGATCCTTTGATCCCTTCATACGATGGCGAGCACAACAAACAAACTCATGAATTCAGTCACACTTCAAAAGTTCACTCACCATGCCCGCTAATACTACACTTACATATATACGGACACACAAATCGAGTTTTACTGCTTAATTTGCTAAATTTTTATACAACTACCGAGCATACCTGTTTGTGTTATCATGATCATGCCTTCACAGGCGTGCTCCGCACTGCCGGGAATAAAGCATTTATTTACTTATTCTTCAAATCGTGTAATATGCCTATGGATTTGTAAGCGCTCAATGGCAGTTTAATTCTGATCAGGCTGCTACATATATACAACGGTTGAAAACATTTCACAAGGCTAAGAAAGGCAAGCTATGGTTGGTGAAATCTATCCTATAGATGAGGATAGTCGTGCACAGAGGCATACATAACCAAAAACACAATACACGACTGTTCGATCTTCTGATGGGGTAACGAGGATAACCGATTAACCGCAAGTGATGGAGGTGAACGGCGTTCACAGTGAAATTACGGAAACTGCAAAAGCAACGTCGGCCGATTAAATTGCTTTTTAAAATGGTCAGCTCAACGCTCTAAGCGTTTTGACAAGTTGTGGATAGTCTGTCCACTCTCGTCACAAATTGTTTCACTAGCACCAGATCTCCTGCTGCCCGTTTCCAGTATAAGACGGAATAACTTTCGATGGTTACCAATGACAGCAGCCACTTCCATCTGACATATGAAGAGACCAGCAGGATTCGCGGTTTCTCTTCAGGTTAGCACGGAGTTTTGCCCGGAGCTCTTTGCGAGTCTCACTGTGTTCGCATCCAGCCGGAATATGCCGGCGAGCATCGATACGTTCCAGAGACAGCGAAGAGACCCAATGTCCATGTTGGCTATTAGACATACCACATGAGGATTTAGTTGCTGCTAGTTAGGTATGGTAAACAGGTGATCAGGGACCTTCAATTGTCTCCAGTGAGCGCTTACTTACTCCGCATGTCAACGTATTTCGATATGCATTCAGAACAGCTGGCTTCGCCAGATAACTATACCATTTCCCGGCCAAGTTGTCCTCTTGGACAACAGAAATAATCTGAGGGGGCATTCAACATGAGTCTACTCGATTAATTTGTTCCGTGCGTACGCCAGTCACTTGTGCAGGTGTGTGTGTGTGCGCGTGTATAGCCCGTCGGCTTCAGCCAATTGGACATCAGACGCACTAAGTCATAGGGGTGCAGTTGGGACGCTTCAGCTCCTACGCACGGAACAAATTAATTGCGTAGACTCATGCTGAATGCCCCCTCAGATTATTTCTGTTGCCCAAGAGGACAACTTGGCCGGGAAATGGTGTAGTGTCAATGCGCTCACAGCGTCGTCATGGGGGTCTACCAAAACCATGCGCATGTCAACACATACAAGTGCACGGTCGGTGTCCACACATGTGCTTCAAAGCGAGCGAGAGTTCTGGACGCATCCTCTCCATTGGCAACTGATTAATTCGCGTCCAAGCAACTGCGAGGCTGGTGGGCGCCACGTTACCCTCCGGCGGGAGCTATGCCGGAAGTTGATGCTCGTAAGAAATCAGTAGGCATCTTCACACAAATGAAGTAACCGCTCACCGTTGTCATTACGGGAGCCTACACCATGTTGGCCACCCAGATGCAGTCCATCAATGGATAACTTACTAATTTGAGCGTTCAGACCCCCGGCCGGCACAACAGTTTTTGTGCTTCATCTGTGGCGAAGGAGTTCGGTTAGTTGGTGGTATAAATCGTCTTTTACCAAATCATTGCTAGAGTTTGTCGGCGCGTAAGCAGCGCTGACGAATAGACACCTATTAGTCTCGCGCCACTTGGAAGCTTTGAAGGAGCCAACCAAGCGGACCGCACACATCCGGCTACTGATTGGAATCCAATCAACCAGAGCAACTTCATCCCGTGGACTCAAGGCAATGCCAACACCAACTTGGCCGGAGCTCGAAGCTGCATCGTCACCGGATAGGTGCAATGAGAAATTGATGCTAGTGTCACCTGAAGGGGATCGCAAATTGAGCACAGAGCTCGAGTCTTGCAGGCGGGTCTCCGATAAATGGCAGATATCGATGTAGAGGGTCTCTAACGTTCGGGCAAGTGCTGCCTGTGGACCGGTCTGTAACGGTGCGTACATTAAGGCATGCCAATCTGAAGGAGGATCAAGGGCTCCAAATGGAAGACGATGAACTGGGGTGGAACGCTTGGTTGGACATGGGCTCGCCCACAGGACAGGAGTGATGCTCCGCGTTCACGTGTGAGTTGAAACTAGAAGACAAAGGCCTAGCAAAGAATTTTGGAGGAATGCCAAGAATCGGGGGTAGAAATTTGGGAGAAAAAGCGGGGTTGGAAAGGGACGATAAGGGTGAAAAAGCGTAAGAGGGGAACTAAGAAGAAAGAAAGGCTTGATCAGTAGCATTCGAACCCCTATCCACCCTGCTCGATGCAGCAGATATGGCGCCGTTTATTATCCTCTGCGACAGCCAGAGCATCAAGAAACTGTTTGAAGAGAAATGCATTGTATTGCATTGGCAGGATACTGTCAGGCTGCCCAAGCCTAGATAGGAGAACAATTAGGATTCTCAACTAAAACCTTTGGTTCAAAACCTGACCGCAAGGCAGCGGGTTTGGCGTTGTGCTACAAGGAGTCCGTTTTAAGGAATAAGGAGCCACCTCATTCCAGCCCACAACCTGGAGGACCAGGAGGCTGAGTTTTTCTGGCATCTAACAATCGACCAATCTGGTATGAGTGGCTCTGAAGGTGCAAAAGGCACCAACCAGCATAGTTCAATGGATCACTGAGGCACACAAACCATCGCACCACTGTAAGATCCAGCCTCATTGCAATGGAAGACTGTATTCGCTTGATCCGCATCCACTGTCCGATCTGGTGAGAATGGCTCTGCAAAGACCCGAGTACTCCATCAAGCATGTCTTTATGGACTGCACCTTGTTAAAGCCCAGCTTTATTCCTAGCTGTATCACAATGTTCTGTTACAAGGTATGTTATGAGGGCATCCATAAACACCCAAAATCCATCACCTGCATAGATAGCGGAAACAGCAGGGGCCCTATACGTGATAAGACGATTAAGACACGTGCACGAGGGATTTGCAATGTCTGTTCCGTAATTGATTGAGGAAACATGAGGCGGATCATAGGGGAGGGTATGCAAGGTATCTCTAATAATTACTCTAATTCCAAAGTAACTTACTCTTTTCTCGGTAAGAATGACTAATCCGAGTAACTGATCCTCAAGGCCGCGTTGTGTGACAGTGAAGTCGATCACAGACGTCTTTGCGTATACTTCTGGTGTGTACGAGGGATTGGGTAACTTTGAAGTAATGTACAACACAAATCCGGTCAGTAAATCACATTCTTTGTCCCCGACTTTAACTTTGTAAGTGGATCCGGATTTTATGAAATTTTTCTCAAGTACGTTGTCCAATGCTGGATCCAACTCTTCACCGACATCCTCTATCAGCAACGGACGACCAAGAGCTAGAGAGTCTTCCAGATGTGTTCTGAAATATTTGTGGTTTAGGGAAGTGACCTATATCGATCAAAAAAAAGAAAAGAGCGGTTGTCAAAACCTTTACCAAACATTAAGTCTTAACCTATAATGTATCTTGTTATGAGGGTTCATCGCGGCAGATTTCACATCAGTCCTCTACTAATGCGGATGTCTGAATATCACCATCCACAAGTTTTAAACACTGTTGGCCCCTCAGATTTATGAATTTTAATGGTTTACATCATTATATTAGCAAGTTGCTTTGAAAGACCTACATTACGCCAGCTGAGTAAAATAATGACTTGTGGCTCTCGGGTCTTCCACTGTGTACCATGGAGCGAGCATCAGCGAAGAAAATAGTACCATCCACTATAGAACGAAAAATCGATATATGTTCGTGGTGGCCCGGAGCTCCATGCCAGCGATGAACGCGAAATTTAAGCTCATGATTTGGAGGACTGGCACAGTACATTCCTCAGGTACTCTCACTCAATGGTGTCGTCGTCAACTCGATCACAAAGCTACTCTCATCAGCAAACTACGAAATATGGCCCCATGATGATAAAGTTGTGCTCCAATCCAAACACATGGCGGAAGATACACTTTAAAGGTAACTTATGTGGTCTTAGAAGCTGCCCTCAGCGTGATAACGCAAGGCGTTTAACATCAAAGCCCGGTCGATCGAGATAGAGGGAAAAGTCCAGGGGTTTAACATTGGCTCCAATAAGTGTTACCTCTGGAAAGGATTACTGCGGGGCGCAACAAGTAGTTGAATGAGTAGCGAGTTCTCCGATACTTAATGTAACTGGAACTTCGTACTGTGAGCATTCTATCAGTCAATATGTCAATAGCTCCCAAAAAAGATTATTTGACGACCAGAGTGGGTAAAACTCGCGGTCGCATTCTCTCTGACCTGATGCGCACACTGGATTTACTCTCACGATTCTCATCGCACAGTGCGCCTACTCTCAGCCCATGCAGTTTAACCAGCGCTATTTGGTGCACTGCACCTTTCGGATATAATTTGTGCGGAGCGCATTTTACCTCAACATCGCAATTTCGCACTCTTCGCACAGGAACACACCCGCGCAAATTTTCAAATCCTGAGCCGCACAGCAACATTTTTAGGCTCGAACGAAAGCCAAATCCGCGATCGACACGACGAGTCAACAACCACAGCTGTCTATAGCTCAGTCGCTCTGTTTACACTTCAGTGCAACTTTTGAGCCGACGACTCTGTTACTTAAACCTGCTCCCGCAAAGAGCTGTGACGGGTAGCAAGGTGCTAAGGACCAGCTGGCATTCCAACACTGCCAATTATGTGCACAGGAGATTACCGATTACTGATTACTGGTTGAAAGCAGCAGGTAGAGGTTTCTCTGTGTAGCTGCATATAATGGCACTCAGGGACAAAGAACCATTATGTTGTGGTGCGCTTGATATATTTTATGTCAGCAAAAGGTTTGTCTGGGCATTTCTTAAATTCCGATACCGACTTTGCCTCAACTACGTGCTGCGGCAGGTCGTTCCATACATTCACCATTCTGCGTTCGAAACAGCGTTGGGGAGCGACCCGCTTCAAATCCGCTATGACAAGCTTGTACCGGTGTCCTCGTGTGCTGCTTGGTGTGCGTAGGTGAAGCAGCGGCCTCAACATGGGGTAATCCTCAGATGTAATATCCGGTGCGTCATGATGAGAGCAACCCTCAGTCGACGATAAGCTAGGGTGTATAGCCCTAGTTTCTTACACCGGTCTTCGTACGGTACACCTCGTAAGTTGGGAATCAGCCTGACTGCTACATGCTGCACTTGCTCATTCGTTTCTACCTCGCCCTGGGTGACTGTATAATACGCGGGAGAGCCATACTCTAGCACTGGAGACAGTCCATCAGCTACGCGCTCCGAACTTGAGTTACAGTCGAGCACTCAGCTACTGACATGAGAAGCCTCGATCGACAGCTACGAGACGCAAAGGGCTATAACAACCAATGGAAAAAAGTTGAGCCGAACAGTCCCAGCAAAAAAGTAGTATATGTCTTGTTTCATGCCAGCAAAAAGTACGAACAAGAATCTGGTGTGCCGATTGTCTCGCAAATTTTCACCATACGTGTGTTAAGCTCAGAGTAAACCAGGGAAGTTTGTGCAATGGCAGACCACATTCTCTGGGGTTCTCTGCAGTGGGTATGGTCATCACACTTGTCAAGGTTGTACATGAACAACCTCAGAACTGCGAAGGACTCGTGATAAAGATTGGACAAATGAGGAAAACCAAAATCGCTGCATTAGAATAAAGCGTGACGGACAGTAGGCCTTGCTTTTCCCCAGTAGGCTCCACTACTAAATTAAGGAATGAGACTGGGCAACGCATTTGAACTGCATCAGCTGCAGTTTTGAATGTTAATGTCTCAATACCAGCAGTGGCCCAAGTACGCCTTAACCATCCACATCCAGTCTTACTGGAATAAGTACAATCAGAGCTGCGTCCACTCTCCAAACCGTTCGAAATTTACGAATGGCGTTCACACGATTGTTGGTTGAAAAGAGGTTGTTGCGAAAGGCACCAGGAAGCTCAGAAATTCAGTTGCTTTCACTGAACCCATAATCAATGTACAAGGCAAAAAGTGTGCTGACGCAATCTCCACAAGTGAAAAACTGACTAACGGATCGGTTAAGCGCAACGCAGGAAGCACAAATGGTCAATAAGAAAACACATAGTTTACTATCGCTGAGTTGCACAAACGTTCAAAAAGCAACGTCAACTTTCAAAAGACGACAACTCGATAACGTGAGCAAATGGAACTTTATATGTGACATCCTACGTGGTGTAACTAAAGCCGCCAGCTTGGTGTTGGTTACCCGTCGCCCAAACTCAATGCGCTACATTGAATCCAGACTTCTCCGAGTTGAACTGTCTTGCAGCGATGGAGCAGCTGCAGTTATGCCACTGATAACTTGTCTCCGGAATGGGTCATGATCCATCCGCATCTTCCCGTGTACGGAAAGGATTGATTTGTCAGGTGACGAAACGTCTGCAATCATCTTTCTAACTTGGGCAAACAAATGAATCGTCAACTCGAGCTACGAGTATGCCGAAACATGGTATATCCCTTATTCGAAACGATCGCTCCAGCAAGGACGGTGGGTTATTTTTATACTATCGCAGTGACCTGCAGTGCGAAGCGGTGGACGAATTGTTATGGCTGACCATAGACTCATTCTGGTGTAGTCTGCGACTGAGACACAACGACACTTAAATTCTGGCGATTGTTTAGCCTGCACCAATGTTCACACAATAAACGAACTCCCGCCGGACATTAGTCTGTAGCATAATCTTATGATCACGATACAGTCATGTTCTCATTTCGGTTGACTTCACTGTACATAACTTGAAATTGCCGACACCCACCAGTGAGCAGTCCAGGTCCGACATGCAAGAGTTTATTGCAAGCATTCCGCTCTTCAGTCATGTCAGTTCGCTCATCTGATTCAAAGCGCGAAATAAACGGTAACAAGAATTTACGATCATGTGTTATGCGAAGTATTGTAGTGTACCGGAAAACATATATTCAGTATTGTGCAATATTGGATTTTACGGTTGTTGTAACCTTCAACACGTCCACTTGTTTTACTGACTACACATCTGTTGACACGAGGCGTTTTGGTGAGTACCTTGCTGCACCTTTCTCGCTCTGGTTGATTCGCTTCCTATCCTTGTAGCCTGCACAATATAACTTGGGTTCAGTCGCCTCTAGATTCTGTAATGTCCTGCATCTGACGCGTCTCTTACGTGTCATTGAGTACCGACTAGTATCCCAGGCTCCATCTAACAATTGGTGACTCCACTCCAGAACATGCCATCCCCCATTTTGAATTTTCTTTCTGGTGAGCTCGTTCCAGTGCTTTTGTGATTCATTACTTGTGATTGTTGTATCAAGAAAGCCGTAGGAAAGGTAAAATGTATCTCGCAAATTAACCAAGTACAACTGAGTCAATCCCTTGTTAAACGGAGAGTCAAGCGACAGGCACGCAACCAATAGTAAGATAAGAATGAGTCAGCAAGCCAACCAATGAGATTGAGCCAATCGATGTTGCTCACGTGCCTACCACATTATCGTTCTCCCCTCCGAAAAGCTGCCTCAACCTGGTTCGTAGCGATCAATGGGTTTCACCGTTCTCGGGGACCGACGCAGCTGACTTCGTGGTAATGGTAACTCAGCCGGGTCTTCGCGCGCGGATCGGTCGGGCTGATTAGCTGGTCCGTGAGCTGTGTGGAGTCGACGCGCGTTGACAATTAGGCCGTTCTCCAATCGATAGGTGCCCGGGCCAAGCGTACGGTCGATGCGCACTGGAGCGGAAAGCGAAGGTGTGCCTTTCTTTGTCGCCCTGCTTTTGACACGAACGTATGTCCCGGGCTGCATTGGTGTCGATGCTTTAGCGTAGGAGTTTTGGTAAGATGCTATGCGATTTGAAACTTCGGCATCTCTCGCTGATAAAAGGTTATGTGCAGCATTTAACTTTGTGCCTAAGGGCTTTCTTAGCATCAGCTCCGCTGGCGTTCTTCCGGTGGCTCTGTGGTCACATGTTCTGTAGGAAAATACCGCGGTTAAAACTGCATCCTCCCAGTCCGAACCTCCTATGTGTATGGCTTGTATAGCTTCTTTTAGAGACCGGTTTAATCGCTCGACCATGCCGTTGGCTGCAGGATTGTAGGGCGCAGTTCTGGAGTGCTTAATGTTATGGCAATGTAGAAAATCTGCGAATTCGCGGCTACAAAATTGTGGCCCGTTATCCGTTACTATTTCATGCAGTAAACCGAAACGGCTGAACAAGTGTTTAAGCCAACGTAACACAACCGAAGTAGTAACTTGGTCGCACATGCGTACTTCAGGCCATCTACTGTAAAAACATGTAGCAACAAGTAGATTTCGTTTATTCGTAGGAGCAGTGGCGAAAGGGCCCATAATATCAATGGCGATTTTGCTCCATGGTTTCATCGGGTAAGCAATTGGCTGTGTCGGGGCTTTTACGGGCAAAGAACT